CAAGGTCATTTCTGAACATACAGTAGTATTAACGTTAGAAGACCTCTTAGACTATCTTCAATCTATACCGAGTTGTTGACAGGCTTAATGGCTTCCGTTTCCATATTGCAGATGGTCCTCTAACCTTGACAACATAGAGTGACGTTTCCTAAAGTGCACTATTGGATTGACAAAAGTGCGCATGTCCTGTCTGGTCTTTGACAAACTCAAGTGTTTAACAATTAAATGTTTCCCTAAAGCAAACTACGTCGAATGGCAGAGACAAGTAATTATTTTGCACAAAGCATGATGGGAAATGTGATTTCCTATTTACGAGTTTCCATATTAGGGTTCAGTGACCACGAAGAAAAGCACTGAACTGAGGAATCAAAGAACAATGAGCACAGATAATTTCTCTTATACTCACTTTACAGTCTAGACTTCGTGTCTCAATGCTTTGTTCGTGGTCACTGAATCTTATTACTGAATATCGTGTCGAATCGAATTTGCGAATTTTTTGCACTCTATACACCCTTTTAATAAGTCCCAAGGTATTGTTTTTTCTCCGCACTTGACGTCAAATTTATTCTTTTGAAWTTTTTVCAATACAAAAGGAATTCAAAAGAATAAATTTGACGTCAAGTGCGGAGAACGTAATACCTCGGGACTTATTAAAAGGGTGTATAACAGGTCAGCTCAAGTGGCCCTATATCACCTAAGCAATTATCCTCGTTAAAAAAACACCACTTTTGAAAAGAGCACTTCAGTTTTAGAGTTTTCAGACTATAAGATGCTAAGAAGAAAAATGACTAAGTGACAAAGATGAAAGGTATTCGCGAAGACCCTAAACCCTGTCATGTAATTTGGTTAGCAAGCCAGCCAATAAGATGTTTAATACTTTCAATAATCTTGAGACAACCGTGTCTTTCCATCAACGCGAGACGACCATTGAGCGTGCAGTGACCTGCAGTGATAGTATAGAAATATATTAGTATCTATCATTGCAAGCTCAGCGGTCGTCTCCGAATTCAATGCAAAGCCTTAGCTAGCTTTCAAGATGGCGCAGGGAACCGTGAAGGCAAGGAGACAAGGAGAAATCTTTACTGAAACTTCGCTCCTTGTTCTCAGTATATCTAAAACTCTCTCGTGGAATGTGGTGTTGCTTCCTTTTTAACATATTTTTACGTCAATTCTTGATTAGTGGCAATATGGCACAAGTGATCTGTTAGTACAAATCGCCCGATTGAGTGACAAGAGAAAAACATTGTTCTCGCGTGATCGATATCGAAGAACATGTCTGCGGGCTTTTTTTTGCTCTCTCTCTCTATCGCGAAGAGAAACCGCAGACCGCAGGCAATAGTACTAACTGCTGAAACATCTGTACTTGCACATAGAAATTTCTAAACTTCTTCGTCAATATTGATCTCGTCAAGGCACAGACTCATTCGTTTCCAGTAACTCCTGATTTCCTGCAATTCRCTMGGTGACACATTCAARGGATCCTTGCTGGAAAATTTAAGCCGATCTTTCAGCGACGCATGCGCATTACGACCACCTCGGTAGCTAATAGTGTTTGATTTCTTGGAAATATGTCTTTGTTTTTCTGCCGTTGCGTATAAAGTTCTTGGGGATACATCAACAGAGCTATCATCTTTTATACTTGTATTAAGCGATGTCTCGCTCATTGTACTATTATTGGAACTCGGTAGAACTGTCGAAGAGGAATTCTCTCTGCTGTGCTGGACAGCAATTGTGGGGGTGGCAATTTTATTAGTGAGTTCGTTATTATTTTGAGCAATTTCGATGTCTTTTGTCTTACCGGTTTTTGGAACAGTGGGAAGCTTTCGACTTCCAGCTTCTCTATGATTCAATTTTCTAATCGCTCGCCGGTTCGCCTCGACTTTTGTGACATCGGCCATGGCTGAGTTTCCGAAACCCGGATGTGGTTTTCCATTTTGTGCTTGTTTTTGCTCTTCAAGTGCACTAAA